TTTCTACGCCGTTCTGCGACAAGACGGTTTTGCGGGTTTTGCGTTATTTTACATACACTGTGACACAAGAAGGTTACGAATCGTTACGGCATAAAACGTGCGCGCACATTTACATTTTACATAGAAGATACCGGCCTCGCGCAGACTGTTTACCAACGTTTGTAGTGATCACACTGCGTCCACATACCACACATACAAAGTAATCTCTAATACAAACTTACATTACTCTTACATAGATATATCTTACGTAGATACAATACGGTAAAACATTTTGCATGAATATATACATGCATATATATTATATATATATATATATATATATATATATATATAAAACATACACACACACACACACACATATATATATATATATATATATATATATATATATATGCATATAACATGTTATATGCATAAACATACAATGACAAATTAAGCATTTTGCCGCCCTTAGGCACCAATATCTAGCCGCCCCCAGATGACTATTAATTTATAAAAATAAAAGGAAAAATGGATTAAAAAAATGATTTATACCTCCGCATCAGTTGGTAAAAATAATCTTTAATAAGTATAAATATAATACATTTTTAACTGTCTATTTATTCTGGTGAAAATTTCTCTCATAATTTTTATACGAATTGGAACATTTTTCAGTAATATTCAAAAATATTCGAAAAGTTTACATCTTCTCTCAGAATTTTTCATACAAGTGAATTCTGAAATATTCTGACATTTCTCATCCTATAATTTTTAAAAAATATTTTTAAATTTTTTAGATTTTATAAAAAATTATACTTACAAAAAATCTTAGAAATCTTATGATATTTCATAATTAACATGTATGAAAAATTCTGGAAAAAGGTGTAAATTTTCTGAGAAATGTTCTAATTTGTATAAGGGTAAAATATCATTTCTGATAAAATATGCTCGGTGTAACAGGAACAATGCACTTGCACAGTTTTATTGCACAAATCACTCACATCGGCTGGTTAGTATTTTTTTTACTGCTTTACCAAAGAGATTATATTATTTTAAATTAGCCAATTAACAATGTGGGCAAATGATATTGTATACACCCCGATATAATTCGTGCAAAAACATTAGATTAACTGAACAACAAATTAAAAATCAGGCAAAATTACTTTTAAAAGTAACAAATTACTCGTTATCGAATAGAAAAAGTAACAAGTTATCATTATTAGTTACTGATTTTTAAAAGTTACAGTTACCGTTGAGAAAGTAACATTCGTTACTTTTCCGTTATTTTTTTTAAATCGACGACCACTATTCACAGCAGAGGGATTTTCTCAAGTGCTATGATTGGCTTGTGTTCAATCGTGTGCAAAATAACGATAAAAGTAAAATTCGTTACCGAACAAATGTGTAACTTTCTTATCGTTATATAATTATCAAAAAAAAAATTAACGCAATATAAAGTTATCAAAAAAAAAAAATAATTTGTAACTGTAACTTCGTTACAAGTAACGAGTTACTTCCATTCCTAATTAAAAATTTATCTCAACTGTGTGAAAACTTTCTGTCTTGAAAAATTTGCTACCTCTTTAAATTTGTCGTTCTAGGTAAGTATCTTGTTTGCTTATACGTCCTGTGCGTTAATCCGTCACTGTAAAACATACATAAATATTCATAAATATATATACGGTGTCTAATAATTGATCTCACAATTTATATTTTTAACTTCAATATGTGTTTTCAACATTTCTTGTTCATAATGACCATATGAACTCCTATGACCATAACTAGTTTTCTGATATCGTAAAGTTTTGGTGATACATAAAGGATTTTATAATTTGACATTCCTCCTACTTCGGTTCTTGCCACGAACCGAAAAATTGATTTGCAACATAAATTTTATAATATGGACTTCAACGTACATTTTGACTTCCTACTGACATCATACAAGAACACTATATGATTTCTGCGTTTCTACTTTTATTTGTATGTATAAGATAAAGGTCCTTTATATTTATATTTAACTAATGTCTTTTGGAGTTGCTGAGGAAAGGGCTAAATCCGAAAACGTGTGTACTTTATATTTCTCATAAGCGAAATAATACAATAAATTATAAATTAATCATCATCTGATATGCTCGTTTAAATTCTATTGATTTTGTATTTGTTTTGTTTATTGCTTTGCAATCATAAGCGTGATTAGAATTTAACTTTTTAATACTTTGTTAATTAATGACAAAACTTTCGCATAGCGGTAGAATGGATTAAATTGAATCGAAAAGTCCTCTACCATTTTGCAATTATCATAATAATTAACAAGATATTAATTATTAAAAATTGTTAAATATTAGTTTTCAATAATTTTTTACTCAAATATTATCAACTTTACAGAAAAATAGCAAAAGACAAAAATGATTAATTTTCTTCTCATAAAGTTTTAAAAATTTTTTCAGAATTTTTTAAGAATTTTATAAATTATATATTTTAAATTATATTTTTTTATGGTAATAAAAATAAGAAAATGCAGTAATAAAAAGTTGATAAAAAATTCTGAAAAAATTTTTAAAACTTTATGAGAAGAAAATTAATCATTTTTGTCTTTTGCTATTTTTCTGTAAAGTTGATAATATTTGAGTAAAAAATTATTGAAAACCAATATTTAGCGATTTTTAGTAATTAATATCTCGTTAACCAATGCCGAAAATCGCAAAATGGTAGAGGACTTTTCAACTCAGTTTAGTCCACTTGCTCGGGATGGGTGATGCCGAAATTTAAGGACACCTTGTATAATATTATATTTATATTATAAATATTTACACATGTTTATGTTTATACATACTTATATATATTCATGTATGAAAAATTTTTTACTTGATTGATCCATGCAATTTTTTGAAAAATCTGATTTTATCTAAAGAACTAATTGAAATGCGAGATGATTTCATATACACTCACCATGTACATTTTAATATGTAAAACAGATTAGCGTGCCGTTGTCTAAGTTGTTGCATCTTCCAAAACAATTAACATCTTCCATTGTAATAGGAATGAATGAATAAACGAAATAAAAGCGGTAACAGTTCCGTGGAAACATCATGACATGGCCGCTGCGCCCTTTTCTCATCTTCCTCTCGCACAATGGAATAAATCTTGCGAGATGCATGTCTTGACAAATCGCCGATGAATTCCTAATTTGTACCATATGATTAATGAATCTCACCTGTATGACTGTTGTGTAATTACAAATTATACTTACTAATTTATAGCATCGGAATGCTGTTCAACCCGCAGCTTGATCCGATCCGGTTTAGCGAAATATTTTTATGTATTAGGTGTACAAAAAAGTTCTGAGCTTTTTTTTGTAAAATTCAATCTTTATTTAATGTAATCGTACGGAAATGGCTTGCTGCGTAACGCCAAGCTGTTCTGCAAGCTCCTTTTCAGTTTGCGCAGAGTTTATATCCAGCAGTGCTTGCAATTCGTCCGTTTCAATCTTTTCAGGGCGTCCAGCACGCGATTCATCTTTAAGACTGAAATCTCCTTGGCGAAACTTTTGATACCACCTTTTGCATGTTGCATGACTTACAGCGTTCTCTCCATATGCAGCACAAATCATTTCAGTGGCTTCAGCAGCATTTTTCTTCAGATGAAACGCGAAGTGGATGGAAAATCGAATATGCTCTTTTGTAATTGCCATCGTGAACACTACTGATTTTTGAGGTTATGTGCATCAAACGCCAAACCGTATCGCATTTCAGGAGGTTAAATGTTACTGTTTTAAAACCCCAAAAGGGCGGGAAGATATATAAAATTTAAATTGTTATTTCGGTTGTATCAAATCTAAAGCTCAGAACTTTTTTGTACACCTAATATATTTACTGACTCACTAATTTGAAAGTGGCGCTAACTTCACTCCGATATCGGGCAACATGACGCTACTATGGAGTCAAATTAAGTTGAATTAAAAAATACGAAAAAATTTAATATTGCATCTGTGTAAGCATAAATCCTGCAAATTATTAATTCTTATTAAACAATCAAATTATTAAACAATGAAAAATTCGTAATTACATTCGGCGCGTTAATATAGTATATATTTATTTGATTATTATTTGATATTTAAATAATTCTGTGCTCGATCAAGCTACTTTAAAAAAAGTAATGTGTAATGTTGATTTTTATCTCTAAAAGAATTCTTATAACTATTTTTATTTGTTATGAAATATTGTTGAAAATTAATGATTTTTATGAAATCGTTTATTTTTCGTATAAATTATTTATAGTTTGTTAATCGAAACAAATAAAAAATTAACCAAAATTTTTGTAAAAATCCTTTGTATTTTGTATGAAGAATTTTAAGCTATAATTACACACAACAACATATAATATAATTTAAAAGATTTTATAGTAAATTTCAATAACTTAAATTAATATTGGTTAAAAATTCATCTAAATATATACAGTGATTTATTTTAGTCTTAACTAGGCAATTAATTAAATATTTTGAAAATATGTAAAGTTGTATAATATAGAAACGTCACGATTGTACGTCTCCATCTATATCATAGACTTTTCTGAATATGTTTGAAATATTCGTTAAGAATGAAATGAAATACTCTGTATATTTTATTTAATCTTCAGAAAACTTCGAGGCGCGTTCGCAACGAGCTGAACGCAGCTAATTGCGCGGCGGGTAGCAGACCAATCCGCGATGCCGCGTGACCGTAGCAGTGCTCACAACGGACCGGACGCAGCGCTACCTGCGACGCGACGCGAGAAACTGCGAGAAACTGCGAGAAACTGCGAGAAACGAGAGAAGCGAACACTCCCTACGGAGTGTTGCGTGCGCGTCGGTGCGTTCGTTTGGTGGATTGCCATTTATGGTGATCCCAAGTGACGACGAGGGAAACATCAAACCAAACATTACGCTTGTGATGCTGTAGGACAACACGGAGAAGGATAAAAAAAGGAAGGAGGAAAGACACTCCATCTCACGGAAATAAGTAAGCACGCTTCCTCTTTGCCTCTCTTGACTGCAACTTACGACACGAACTCTGCCGCTTATCGTCCACTTCGGTCGCACACGCGAGCAGACATCGGAGTGATGATGCTTGGCAAATATAAAGATGACGGCATCGTCTCCGTCGTATGAATAAGCAGCGGAGGGTGCACGTCGTGCACGACTAGGCAGTTCCCGGCCGATCGTAAGACTCGATCGCGATTCTTCTGTTTCGCGTCGAAACGATTCCCTGGAAATGGAAGTGAAATCGTATGTAATCTAAGGTGACCAACTCCTTAATACGGGAGAGTGGAACATTAAGCAAAAATCAGTGGTGTCGTAATTAAATTTTAATGGATAAACGTTTTTATAATTGTTAATGAATACCTTATGAATAATATTACATTTGTAAATAACTAATTAACACAAGTATAACATTACATGAGATTATAACAAAAATTACATCAAGTTACGAGATTACATTTTGTTTTTTTTTTTTTTTTTTTAATTCTACTGAGTATATTTTGTAAACGATATTTGCGCTCTTTTAAATAAATCAAAATTCTTCAGACTTTTTATTTTAAAATTATATGTAATATTTATTGTTTTCACAAAAGAGAAAAAATTCATAATTACGTTCTTAATTTGGAAATTAATTTAAAGTAGAACGGAGAATAAAAATTTAAGACTGTCTCTTCTAATTTGAGATGGTTATCTTAATGTAATCTGAATCATGTTACTCTGTCAACTTGAAAACTCTTTTTGACACAGATCCCTCTTATAATAAATTTGGTTGGATGCATTAGCGTGTACTGGTATATATTATATACCTGCGATTTTGCAAAATGTTTAATTTCTTATCTTTTCTTATTTTTTAAATATTTGTTTATGTAAATGTTTAAATCAAAAGATTAATTGTGGCTTATCTACGATTTTGCAGAATGTTCGGCAGCTCAAGATGGATCCTCGTGTTAGGGGTACTAGTGGTGAGCCTATCGGCCTCGTTTGTGCAAGCAAACTATCCTCCTCCTCCTCCTCCAGAGAGATTGACTGGCATGAATCCATGTATCAGTAAACAGACATGTCATGAATGCATACAGACTCCACATTGCGCTTGGTGCGCAGCACCAGTAAGTCTATATTAGTTTGATCAAAAATTCTTATACCTTCTCTTTATGTAGTTCTTTCATTAATAGAAAGATGAGTAAATTAGCAATTTGATATTTTTATTAATATGGATTCTAAAGTAGCTTTGCTTTCATAGAAATTCCCGGAGAAAAGGTGCTTCCTGCCAAACATCAATACTAAAATATCTGCGACGTGTCCTTCTGAGCACACATGGAACCCAGACATCGTCTTCATTAGGCTGCGACATCGAAACTTGACAAAGGGTGGTTACGCCACTGGTGGCGGAGGAGTAGGAGGATATGGTAGCATCGAGAGTTCATATTCCAATTTTTCATCTTCCAGCTCGTCTTCTTCACATTCTCATAAAGAGAGTTGGGGCGGTAGTGGAAGCAGAAGGCAAGAAGCTGTGCAAATGTGGCCGCAAGAAGTCAATCTAAAGCTCAGAATAAGTAAATTATTATTATTATTATTACTTGAAAATAAAAGATAAAATTAAAATTGTGAATATTTTATTTTATCAACTTGATATATAAATTTGTTTTAGATGAAGCTTACGGAATGCATTTCGCTTATTCGCAAGCAGAGGATTATCCTGTCGATCTCTACTATCTTATGGATCTGAGCAAATCTATGGAGGACGATAAGAAAAAACTATCTGACTTGGGCCAGTTATTGGTCGAGAGTATGAGCAAGATTACGAGCAATTTTCGTCTGGGCTTCGGTAGCTTTGTCGACAAAGTCGTGATGCCGTACGTCAATACGGTGCCGAAATCGTAAGTCTCGAGATAAACCGAAGAAACTGTACCACGCTGTCCAATGTGCCATTACTCATTTTTTAAATCTTTAATCTCTTAGTCTTATCGAACCGTGTGACGGTTGCGCGGCGCCTTACGGATACAAGAATATCATGAGGCTTTCTCAGGACACAAGCAAATTTGCGGTACATAAATATCCATATCTTAGCATAACGCACAAATTTTAAATCATACATACAAATCTAATTGACTTAATAAATCTAACTGTAATCCATTTCTATGTAGTTTAATTTTACAATTCTCTAAATTTAGAAAGACTTTCATTAATTCTGGATTGTGAAACTAATAAAAAATCTTATTCTCTACCGATTTTTCTAGTGAGACATTCTTGTTTACAGGGATTAGTACGTAACGCGTCAGTATCCGGCAACCTTGATGCCCCAGAGGGTGGGTTTGACGCGATCATGCAGGCGATAGTTTGCCGGAATCAGATCGGTTGGCGCGAGAAGGCGCGCCGGCTGTTGGTATTCTCAACAGACGCCGGTTTTCACTACGCGGGCGACGGCAAGCTGGGTGGTATTATCAAACCGAATGACGGTCTCTGCCATTTGGATACCAGTGGCATGTACACTCACTCGTCTCTGCAAGACTATCCGAGCATCTCGCAGATCAACCTGAAGGTGAAGCAGAACGCGATAAACGTCATATGGGCGGTCACTGAGGAACAGATCAATGTCTACAAGCGACTGACCAAGCAGGTGGAAGGTTCCTTTGCTGGTAAACTCTCAGATGATTCCAGCAACGTCGTGGAACTGATCCGCGAACAGTACGACGCTATCTCAAGCTCGGTGGAGATGAAAGACACAGCCAGCAGTGCAATCAAGGTAAAATACTTCTCAAGCTGCTTGGGCACTGGACCAATGATTGAGACGTCAAAATGCGACGGATTGAAAGTCGGTACGAAAGTGGAGTTCGTTGCAGAGATCGAGGTTACCAGCTGTCCGGCCAACAGATCGGAATGGAAACAGAAGTTTGATATTTATCCGGTAAATCGAATCATTATGCAAATCTAACTGGTCAATTAGAAAACTATATCAGTTAATTTTTTGTTTTCTACATTTATACAGGATGTCTCACGTAAATGTGATCATGATTTTTCCGATATCTAACAAAAATTATTTTGAATAAAAAATTAGTTTTTAATTGGCTACAAATTGCAATATTAAAAATTTGCAAAATATTTTTTTTTTAGGAAAAGTCAAGATTACTCTAATTTTTTTAAATAGCGTATTTTTTTTACTTCATAATATTAACGTAACTAATGTCAAGACGAGTCAATGACCTGCTGTACTATGACCTTGAGATGATCTTGAAATCAGACATGTGGGATCAATGAATGGAAACGTTTTCGTGAAAAATTATTTTTTTTTGTATTAAATTTTATATAGACACATATTATGCAGTAGAAAAAGATTTTTATATAAGCAGCATATCAACTTTCTTATTATAGGAATATATTTTCAACAAATTGAGACTGAACTATGATTTGCTCTAATGATAAACTAAGAACACAAAGAATTATCGTGACGGCGTTTGAACTATATTACAAGTACTACAAATTATATTAACATTTTTTTCTACGTATACATACGTACATGTATGTAATAAATTATGAACTACATTTGAGAATATCACGAATTCAGAAATGGCTACGTTGATTCCTCAATTTGTCTTCAGATACATTTTTACTGAGCAATATAATGAAAAATATGTAAAGTTTAATATAAAAAATAATTTTTCACGAAAACGGTTTCGTTCATTGATTCCACACGTCTAACTTTAAGGCCATCTCAAGGTCATAGTATAGTATGTCATTGAACTCATCTTGACATCAATTACAATATTATTAAGTAAAATATACGTTATACCATTTAAAAAAATTAGGGTGACCTTGACTTTTTTCCTAAAAAGAATTTTGCAAATATTTTTAATATTGCAATTTGTAGTCAATTGAAAACAATTGTAGTCAACTGACTAATACTTTTATTCAAAATAATTTTTGTCAGATTATCGGAAGTGTCGGAAAAATCGTGATTACAGTTACGTGGGACACACCCTGTATATTTCTCTTATTTTTATATTTTTTACTTTAGCATTGTTGTATTAATCGGACTTCTTTTTCAGGTCGGTATCAACGAGACCCTCACCGTGAATTTGGAGATGTTGTGCGACTGCGAGTGCGAGCGTCAAGGTCACATGTATGAGGAACATGCACCCGAATGCAATGGCATGGGCACACTCAAGTGCGGTGTTTGCGAGTGTTACGATGGATTTTTCGGCAAACACTGCGAGTGTAGCTCACACCAGGAGCTCACTGGTTTCGATAAGCACTTCCAATCCTGTCGTCCTGACAACACCTCCCTCGTCGACTGCTCCGGCCGTGGTACGTGCGCCTGCGGTCAATGCGAGTGCGAGGAGCGGGAGAATCCGGAAGAGGTATTTCCTGAATTCTCTAGCAAATAAATTCTTATATGATACATTTTTCTTTAATCTTTTTTTTTTTCTCCACCGATTGGTATGATCTTTAACCTTCGTATCTATAATTGCAAAATTTATTTATTTATTTTTAATATCTTATTAATTATTATCCCAAGTAACAATACACACAGCAGAAGACATATAAGAAAATGTAAAGAAAAGAAGACAGGTACAATTAGAAGTAAAAAAAAATGGAATAGATAAATGTAATTAACAATACTCACGTGGAGAATATTTGCAATATAGATTTATATTCTTACAGATAATATCAGGACATTTCTGCGAGTGCGACAATTTCTCTTGTGATCGTGATCAAGGTAAGCTCTGCTCTGATCATGGCACCTGCGAATGCGGTCAGTGTGTCTGTAATTCTGGCTGGACCGGACCATCCTGCAACTGCAGGTCTTCTAATGATTCCTGCATCGCGCCAGGAACTACGAACGGTGTGCTCTGCTCAGGTCATGTAAGTGATTGGAAGTATGTGACGACAGAAAACTACAGTTACTATTTAATACTTCTTTTCTGATATATATAATTTTAATTACAGTGAAATATAATAATTATATTTATATTTATATATTATTTTAATAATTAAAGAAGAGAATATTTCGTTATAAATTTAGAAATATTATATATAAAAATTAAGAGATTTATCTTATATCATAAAATCTCATCTTTTTCTTTATAAAGGGTGACTGTATTTGCGGAGAGTGCATCTGTCACGAGGAAGGCAGCATTCGGTATTCCGGTAAACACTGCAATAAGTGCCCGACCTGCCCAAGTCGCTGTGAAGAGCTGAAACCCTGTGTACAGTGCCAGATGTACGGCACCGGAAACTACAGCGTTCCGGAGGAATGCGCGAGGAATTGCAAGGAATTTGTACCTGAGGGAGTCGAGACAGTGATCGTCGATGTGGACAACGACGAGGTGCCATGCTTTGGCACGGACGAGGACGACTGCAAGTATAACTTCGTCTACTACTACAATGAGACCAATTGCCTGCAAGTGCGCGCTCAGAACGAGCGTGAGTGCCCGCCGCAGGTCTACATGCTCGGCATCGTGCTAGGCGTGATCGCGGCGGTGGTCTTGATCGGTCTCGCATTGCTATTGCTGTGGAAGCTGCTGACGACTATACACGATAGACGAGAATTCGCCCGATTTGAAAAGGAGAGAATGATGGCGAAATGGGACACGGTTCGTATTTCTAATATTATAAACCATAATCAGATCGAGCTTTTAAGAATTAAACTTCTCAAATCAATTTTTACCAAAAATAGAGGGAAATCTTGAGTTTGTAATTATTTTTTTGAAAAAGTATAATTAAAAAATTAAAAGGCATTAAAGGACTCGTAATGCAATAAAATATAAAAAATGGAGTAAAGTATATAATTTAATAAAAAGATAATACAATGAAATTAATTATCAAAATCTCAAGTACTACTTTTTGTAAGATTTATACCGTACAAATTAGTATAAAATATTCGTTTTGCTCGCTTTAGGGAGAGAATCCAATCTACAAGCAAGCGACTTCCACCTTCAAGAATCCGACTTACGCCGGGAAATAACGCGTCTCGAAATGAAAAAAAGGATAACGTGAGATTTAAAAAAAAGAATCGCATCGTCACTGGGACGGAATGCGATTTCAAATAATTTGCAAATAATCGCGAATGCCGATCGCATGCGATTCGACATCTCGTTTCGAAACTTAGCAAGAGTTTGAACTACACAAGAGCTTCAAACGGCATAACAAGATCTAAAGCTAACGGTTTAGCGTATATAATTATTTAAAGGAACTAATATTTAAATATATATATATATATATATATATATATAT